TATAAAACTTACTTATAATATAATAGTTTTATAAAATAAAATAAAGATAACTTTTTACTTTATAAATAAAGAATAAGATAATTTTTTTAATACCTTTATACCTAATTAGTAGAAAGTAATTAAAGAATTAAACTATATATATTAAACCCTCTATATAACTATAATAAGGTTAATTTAAGGCGCTATATACACTAGACTATTCTTTAAACTAAGTAAGAAGTATCTTGTCTTTAAACTTCTAGACCTACTAAAAAGCTTTAAAGATATATAAAAACTTCCTAAGAATTTAAAATCCTTATTTAAAAAGGCCTATTTTATTAAAATTAATAAGCTAATAGAGAAAAAAATCTAGAGGCTAATTAATACTTTAAAGATAATATCTAAACCCTTACTACTTAAATAGGTATTTATATATAAAGTAGACAAAGATAGCTTCTTAGAATATTATAAGGCAAAGATCTATATATAAAGTAATCTATAACTAAAAAACCTTCTTTAATAAACCTATATAGCTACCTTTATAGCAAGAACTTTCTATATTATAATAGTAATTATAGCCTAATTTAATCTTAAAATTTAATAGCTAAATATTATTAATATATTTTTAAATATAAAGCTAAATAGTAAAATAGTTATATACTACTTACTAGATAAATTTAAGGTATATAGAAAATATATTTAACTTATATATACTTTATATAGCTTATATAATACTTTTTTTCTTTAGTATAAGGAATTCTTTATAAAGCTAAAAAACCTTAGTTTAAAACCTATAGACAAAGATCTATATCTCTTTACTAATTAAGAATAAAAAGTATTTATAATCTTCTATATAAATAATATTTTTATTATATTTTACTAAAATAACTAGGTAGCTAGGGAATAAATTACTAATAACTTAAAAGGGGTATATAAAATAAAGGACTAAGGCCTAGCTAAATACTACCTTAGAATACGTATTATAAGGGATTAGTAGGTAAAAAAACTCTTTTTAGTCTATAATATATATATTAAGAAGGTTATAAAGTAATTTAACCTTATAAAAGGCATCTTCTTATTAACTTCTTTACTAACTATAATACTTAAAAATAACCTAGGCTAAGTAATAAAAGAATAAGTCTATAAATACTAAATAAAGATTAGCTTAATCCTCTTTACTATAATTATAATATAACTTAATATTATATTTATATACTTAGCCTTATCTTACTACCTTATAAATTCTTTAAGAAAGTATATTTTAATAGTAAACTAAGTAATCTAATACTTATATTTAATATACTACCTTATAATTTACTTTAGAGATATAAGAGGTAAAATAGCCTTTATAATAGTAAGTAATACTTTATTTATAGATAATAAAAGTTAAAAAAGTCTTCTTAAGGCTATATCTTTTTACTATTTAGGGGTATAATCTAGTAGAAAGCTATACACTAAGTAATAGTAATAACTTTAACTACTAAGGCTAAACTCCTAAGTCTAGAATAGACAGCTAAAGAAGTAATAGCTCTTAAATATCTATTTTAAGACTTCTAACTAGCTATAGAAGATATTTAGAGAATATACTATAATAATTAGTAAATAATAAAGCTAGTAATCTAGTAAAGAAAAAGACTTATAATAAGGCTTTAATATATTAATATTTAAAATATATAGTTAAAACAGAAGTTTATAAAAAGTAATTTTAATATTACTTATATAACTATAAACAAGATACTAGCTAATAGACTTATAAAAAATCTTTTATATACTAAGTTTAAATACTTCTATTCTTTACTTAATCTTATAAATATATATAATCTTATATAGAAAAAGATAATTAAGATATTAAAGTAAAAGTAAGTTAATTCTATAAGTAAATTAGCTTATATTAGCTATATAATATAGAACACTATACCTCTTAAGGAGGTCTAATTATACTGCCCTAAAAACTAATTTAGGCTAAAAATTATAGCCTAAAAACTTTTCTTTATAAAAACCTAGGCTAAAAATTATAGTCTAAAACTTTTTCTCTCTTATCTTAAACTCTAAACGCTTTAGAAAGTTACCCCTAAAAACTATAGCTAATACTTATCTTAGATAGCTCTCTTAAAGGATTTAACTATACTTATAAATCTAAGTTTATAGGTAATATTACCTTTAGAAACTAACTAAAAAAAGTCTATTAAAGCTCTCTTTTTCTTAGTAATAACTAGAGTAGTACCTAGAGGTATAGTTCTATACTTCTTAGCTAAACTAAGCACTTAGTTATAACCTTAAACTAGAATAAAAGTTAGAATTAATTAACTAAATAAATAAATATTTAGATTATAAGGACTAGGATTAGTAAAGTTAATAGTAGTTACTTTACTAGTTCTCTTAAGCTTCTTTTTTTACTTTTTATAAAGTGCTTTAACTTTAGTAATACTCTTATAAAAGGTCTAACTCTTAAACTTTAACTTCTATCTAGAATATTAGTCCTAGAAGTAAAAATAACTAAAGAAAATCTAAGACTTACTAAACTCTTTATATCTTTAGTATAAGTATAATAAATAAAGCTATTAGTAGTATTAACTAACTTATTAAGAATAGTAATATAAGATATATTATTCTTAATATAGTGTCTATAGGGACTATCTTTATTTACTAAGGTGTATTTACTTTAGGAAAAGCTATAAATAACGCTTTTAAGATAGCTAAGGTAGATCTAGTCCTAGTATAGACCTTTCTTAAGAACTAGGTTTCTACTTATATTAAGTATACACTTCTTATAAAGGTATATTAAACCTTTACTACTACTTACCTTATACTTTTTATTAATAAGTAAAAAAGAAAAGCTATAACTAAGCTTATTATTTTTTAGATTATTATTAATAAGTAAATTATCCTTTAACTTATTTAAAATATAATTACTATTAAAATCTTTATAATTATTTTTATTCTTAATAAATAAAGTAATAATCTATTCCTAATATACTTTCTTTACTACTATATATATATACTTTATAGGCCTCTTTATAAAGTCCTTTTAGTACTTTCTTTAATTTTATTAAAAAAGTAAATAAAACTATAACTACTTAGATTAGCACTTATTATTATTAAATTAATAAAACTAATAAGATTCTTTTTAAATAAACTAAGATCTATTAGTAAGTAAAAAAACACTTTATAACTAAGAAAAAAAGAAAACTTATACTTAGTATACTTATCTTAAAGGATTATATTATACTTTTTAACTATAATTAAAGTTCTCTAAAGTATTTTACTTAAGTAAATTAAGAAAAAAAGTACTACGCTTCTTTTATCTAAGTTAAAAATAGCTAAGGAATTAGTTAGACTAATAAATAAAGTATTACTAGGCCTAAAAGTAAGGATCTTACTAGGACCTTAGTTACCTAAGACTAGGCTAAGATCTATACCTCTAGTAGGATTATAACTAAATATTATACTTAATTAAGGATATAACTTAAAAAATATTCTAGCTATTAAACTACTATATAAGCTAAGGAGTCTAAACTTAGGTATAAATATATTCTTTTATTAAAGAGGATTATTAGTAAAAATATAAATCTAAATAATTTCTTAGTTAAAAAAACTATAAGACTTAAGAAGTAAAAATAGTTACTAACTAAAAAACTTAAGCTACTTAAAATATATTACTAGTTAAAAAGAGGGCTATAACTTTTTTTTTATTTTCTTTTAACTATTAGCTATCTAAAAATAGCTTTAGAACTACTATATAAACTAGAATATATAGTAAGTAAAGAAAATATTAACTTACTTTACTTAATAAGTTATTAGTTAAAAAAAAAAAGTTAAATAATAAGATATTAAGAGATATTTATTATTTAACTAGTAGGTAATTAGTTATTACCTATTTTAGAAAAAATAAGCACCTTAAGAAATAAAAGAAACTACTACTAAAGTAAATAATAATAAATAATAAGATATAGTATTAAAAGACCTTTTATATAATACTATTATTTACTTTATTACTTATTAATTAGCTTAAAAGGCTATTATTAACTAATAACTATCTTATTTTCTTTTATTATAAAAATATCTATAGTTTTTTATTTAGTTATAAAGATAGACTCTATAACTAGGGGGGTATATTATAAAGCTAGGATAGCTTTATATAGCTAGTTCTAGTTAGAGACACTATAGAGTAGCGCCTTTAACTAATAAGACCTACATTAGGAAGAGTATTTCTAGGTAAGTTTTCTCTTGTACTTAGACTTAGGAAAATCAACTACTTCTCTTTATAAATGTTAGGACACTGCGGTTTATCACAGACAGACTTTTGTTTAAGCCATAGGTATAAACTCTAATTAACTTGGGAGCAAGAAGTTTAAGACTTAAGAGTAGTTAAGTCCAAGTTTAGATGATGACATATGATATGGATGTGTTTTTGTCACGTCAAAGACAATGGATAAAATAAAATACACGCTCAAAAACGCTACTCATAAGACTACCCCAAATTGATACAGTCGTATCCCGCGTTATCTTCTAGTAATCATCTGGCAACTTGATATATGACCATCATGCTGATAGTTTGCCTACATCCTTTCGCGACCACTCGCGTCCAGCTCCGCAACGTACTGTGAGGTGGGCATCTCAGCCGGCCCCATATGTCTTTCGGGTTGCTGCTCACACAGCTCATGGTGTTTTGCAACGTACAAGAACTTGTCCGGCTTCACCGGCATCGGGGGTTGCAAGTCGTCGGTAGGCGGTGGCCCGGACCGGCGTTGCTGTTTACGCTTCCTTCGCCATAGGAAGAACGCAAGTGCAGTAAGGATTATAACCCCTACTCCAGCACCAACACCAACGCCTATGGTGGTAGGCAGTGGCAGTCCCGAAAGAGCGGGCGGTGCAGTCGTAGCCAGGGCTGGAGAGGTTGTGGCTGTGAAGGCTTCTGACGCTATGGTTTCGTGAGGGAAAATACTGGCAGTGTTGGGTTGCTCTGGCCAGGTTGTTTTTGCGGCAGTTTCGCCAAGGCCTACTGTCGAAGTTGACGCAGTCTCGGAATGAAGTACTTGTCGCATTTGACAGGGAACGAAGTATACTGGCAAAAGGCGGAGCGCGTTATGAAAGTTCTGGATGATCAGAAGATGGAAGGCGGCCTGGTACCAATATTTGTACACCCCAACCATGGGCGCTTCACCACGAGAGAAATTCGACTAGGAAGTCGAGGTGATTCATACTATGGTAAGAACTTATCCAACTATGAAACATCTGTGACGCTGACCTTTAACAGAATACCTTATCAAACAATACCTACAAACGGGCGAGACTATCTACCGTGACATGTGGGAAGACTCCTTGGCTGGTATCGAGAAGCACCTTGTCACAACCACTCGCAACGCCGCTCTCAAGTTCATCGCAGAGCTTCCCACAGGAATTGGGGGGTCTCTCTCGCCAAAGATGGATCACCTTGTCTGCTTCCTTCCCGGTACAATCGCCATGGCGGTAAGTTTACGGAACCAGTTCTTTGCTAGCCTAATTATCTCATGTTGTGTGACAGGCCACGGAGGGGCGTACCTTAGCTGAAGCACGTCACGCCCCTGGTTGGACTGCGCATCATGAAAAAGACATTCAGCTCGCAACAGAGCTCATGAAAACCTGTTGGGGAATGTACGCTGTCACCGACACTGGCCTCGCGCCCGAGATCGCCTGGTTCAATGCTACTGATGCAGACTTGCAACCTCAACCCGGTGATAGGCTCTTGCGCAGAGAAAGCAGCGGTATGTTCCCATGAGAGCCAACTCACATCAAGGAGCTGTTAACTAATCCAACACCCATTCAGCATTGTCAAAGTGGAAGCAGGATTATATAATTAAGCCCCTGGATGCACACAACCTTCAAAGACCAGAGACTGTTGAAAGCCTCTTCATGATGTATCGCATCACGGGGAACTCTATGTATCGCGAGTGGGGTTGGAAGATCTTTCAGTCTTTTCAAAAGCTCACCCTGGTACATGATGGAGAGGGATACACCAGTCTCAATGATGTACGGACGGTCCCGCCAGCAACTCGAGACAACATGGAGAGCTTTTGGCTGGTAAGTTTCAGCTGCCATTAAACTGACTTCTTCAAGGTAAAAGCCAACCCATGATGAGTTACTAATATCGTATATAGGCCGAAATTCTCAAGTACTTATACTTGTTGTTTTCTCCAACGGACTACATGCCATTGACTGAGGTTGTCTTTAACACGGAGGCACATCCCTTTCCGAGGTTTACACCGAGGGGGCCCTTGAAAACTGGTTGGCAAAGAATGCCACGATAGCATTATTGCCAGCTTGATCATAGGTTATCTTGCCACAGAGGCAGTATGCGCGGTACATTGTACTATTCAGATTCAATGGAAACACAATTCTGTATTATTGGATTGGAGAAGTGCACACAAAGCAATCATCAACAACGGTAGAGATTAAGCCGTGTAATCATCATTATTTTCCCTAGCCAGACCAATCGCGTCGCATGGAAATTGTTCCATACAACTGCTTTTGGATGCAATATTTCGTTTTACTTTCTTCTTATGTTTGACCGCCCGGGCACTACTGAGATGCTACAACTTTGGTCCATCTTTTCCAGGGCACCAAACTACCAAACTGTAATCTCCTGGGACCGTTGTTCAAAGTCAAAGCCGTCTCTGTTCACGTGTCTGAGCCAAGGCACTTGACTTACAAGTTTGATGGCGGCGTATTGCGCATGGATGGGCAATCGATTGCAATCTTTAGTACACATTATATCATCTTTA